TGATCATGCCAACACACACACACACCTTAGAGTAGTGATCATGCACACACACACACACACACCTTAGAGTAGTGATCATGACACACACACACACACACACCTTAGAGTAGTGATCATGACACACACACACACCTTAGAGTAGTGATCATGACACACACACACACACACACCTTAGAGTAGTGATCATGACACACACACACACACCTAGAGTAGTGATCATGAACACACACACACACACACCTTAGAGTAGTGATCATGACACACACACACCTTAGAGTAGATCATGACACACACACACACACCTTAGAGTAGTGATCATGACACACACACACACCTTAGAGTAGTGATCATGACACACACACACACACACACCTAGAGTAGTGATCATGACACACACACACACACACACCTTAGAGTAGTGATCATGACACACACACACACCTAGAGTAGTGACGACACACACACACACACACCTTAGAGTAGTGATCATGACACACACACACACCTTAGAGTAGTGATCATGACACACACACACACACCTTAGAGTAGTGATCATGCACACACACACACACCTTAGAGTAGTGACTATGACACACACACACACCTTAGAGTAGTGATCATGACACACACACACACACACACCTTAGAGTAGTGATCATGACACACACACACACACACACACCTTAGAGTAGTGATCATGACACACACACACACACTTAGAGTAGTGACTGGACACACACACACACCTTAGAGTAGTGACTGTGACACACACACACACACACACCTTAGAGTAGTGATCATGACACACACACACACACCTTAGAGTAGTGATCATGACACACACACACACCTTAGAGTAGTGATCATGACACACACACACACACCTTAGAGTAGTGATCATGACACACACACACCTTAGAGGAGTGATCATGACACACACACACACACACCTTAGAGTAGTGATCATGACACACACACCTTAGAGTAGTGATCATGACACACACACACACACCTTAGAGAAGTGATCATGACACACACACACACCTTAGAGTAGTGATCATGACACACACACACCTTAGAGTAGTGATCATGACACACACACACACCTTATAGTGATCATGACACACACACACACCTTAGAGTAGTGATCATGACACACACACACACCAGAGTAGTGATCATGACACACACACACACACCTTAGAGTAGTGATCATGACACACACACACACCTTAGAGTAGTGATCATCATGACACACACACACACCTTAGAGTAGTGATCATGACACACACACACACACACACACTTAGAGTAGTGATCATGACACACACACACACACCCTAGAGTAGTGATCATGACACACACACACACACACCTTTAGAGTAGTGATCATGACACACACACACACACACACCTTAGAGTAGTGATCATGACACACACACACACACCTTAGAGTAGTGATCATGACACACACACACACACACACACACACCTTAGAGTAGTGATCATGACACACACACACACACCTTAGAGTAGTGATCATGACACACACACACCTTGATAGTGATCATGACACACACACACACACACACCTAGAGCAGTGATCATGACACACACACACACCTTAGAGTAGTGATCATGACACACACACACACCTAGAGAGTGATCATGACACACACACACACCCTTATAGTGATCATGACACACACACACACACACACCTAGAGTAGTGATCATGACACACACACACACACACACCTTAGAGAAGTGACTGCAACACACACACACACACCTTAGAGTAGTGACTCACACACACACACACACACACCTTAAGAGTAGTGACTGCGACACACACACACACACTCTGAGTAGTGATCAGACACACACACACACACACACACACCTTAGAGTAGTGATCATGACACACACACACACACACACTTAGAGTATGATCATGACACACACACACACCTTAGAGTAGTGATCATGACACACACACACCTTAGAGTAGTGATCATGACACACACACACACCTTAGAGTAGTGATCATGACACACACACACACCTGAGTAGTGATCATGACACACACACACACACACACCTTAGAGTAGTGATCATGACACACACACACACCTTAGAGAAGTGATCATGCACACACACACACACACACACCTTAGAGTAGTGATCATGACACACACACACACACCTTAGAGTAGTGATCATGACACACACACACACCTTAGAGTAGTGATCATGACACACACACACACCTTAGAGTAGTGATCATGACACACACACACACCTTAGAGTAGTGATCATGACACACACACACACACACCTTAGAGTAGTGATCATGACACACACACACACACACACCTTAGAGTAGTATCATGACACACACACACACCTTTGAGAGGATCATGACACACACACACACACCTTAGAGTAGTGATCATGACACACACACACACACACCTAGAGTAGTGATCATGACACACACACACACCTTAGAGTAGGATCATGCACACACACACACACACACCTTAGAGTAGTGATCATGACACACACACACACCTTAGAGTAGTGACCATGACACACACACACACACCTTAGAGTAGTGATCATGACACACACACACACACCTTAGAGTAGTGATCATGACACACACACACCTTAGAGTAGTGATCATGACACACACACACCTTATAGTGATCATGACACACACACACACACACCTTAGAGTAGTGACTATGACACACACACACACACTGTAAGTGATGATCATGTACACACACACACCTTAGAGTAGTGATCATGACACACACACACACACACACACCTTGAGTAGTGATCTGGCACACACACACACCTTAGAGTAGTGATCATGACACACACACACACCTTGAGTAGTGATCATGACACACACACCTGTAGGTAGTGATCATGACACACACACACACCTTAGAGTAGTGATCATGACACACACACACACTGCTAAGTAGTGATCATGACACACACACACACCTTGGAGTAGTGATCATGACTTTTACACACACACCTTAGAGTAGTGATCATGACACACACACACCTTAGAGTAGTGATCATGACACACACACCTGTAGAGTAGTGATCATGACACACACACACACACACACCTTAGGTAGTGATCATGACACACACACACACATAAATTAGTGATCATGACACACACACACCTTAGAGTGGTGATCTTGACACACACACACACACACCTTAGGTAGTGATCATGACACACACACACCTTAGAGTAGTGATCATGACACACACACACCCACCACACACCTTAGAGTAGTGATCATGGCACACACACACACACACACACACCTTAGAGTGATGATCATGACACACACACACACACCTTAGAGTAGTGATCATGGCACACACACCTATAGAGTAGTGATCATGGCACACCACACACACCTTAGGTAGTGATCATGACCACACACACACACACCTTGGAGTAGTGATCATGACACACACACACCTTAGAGTAGTGATCATGACACACTGTAGGTGGTGATCATGACACACACACACACTGTGATGATCATGGCACACACACACACACACACACACCTTAGAGTAGTGATCATGACACACACACATGGAAGTGAAAGTGATCCTTGGCACACACACACACCTTAGGTATTAGTCATGACACACACACACACCTGTAGAGTAGTGGTCATGGCACACACACACACACCTTAGGTGAGTGATCACTTGTACACACACACACACCTTAGGTAGTGATCATGACACACACACACACCTTAGAGTGGTGATCTTGTACACACACACCTTAGAGTAGTGATCATGACACACACACACACCTTGAGTAGTGATCATGACACACACACACCTTAGAGTAGTGATCATGGCACACACACACACCTTAGGTAGTGATCATGTTTTTGCACACCTTAAGTGAGTGATCATGACACACACACACACACCTTAGAGTATTGATCATGACACACACACACACACCTTAAGTAGTGATCATGACACACACACACACACACACCCGTAGAGTAGTGATCATGACACACACACACACACCTTAGAGTAGTGATCATGACACACACACACACCTTAGGTAGTGATCATGACACACACCTGTAGAGTGATGATCATGACACACACACACACCTTAGGTAGTGATCATGACACACACACACACCTTAGAGTAGTGATCATGACACACACACACACACACTATAGAGTGATCATGACACACACACACCTTGGAAGTAGTAGTCATGGCACACACACACACCTTAGAGTAGTGATCATGACACACACACACCTTAGAGTAGTGATCATGACACACACACACCACCTGTAGAGTAGTGATCATGGCACACACACACACACACACCTTAGAGTAGTGATCATGACACACACACACACATAGAGTGGTGAGTGCCCAGAGGCACACACACACACACACACACCTTGAGTAGTGATCATGACACACACACACACACCTTAGAGTAGTGATCACTGGCACACATAGAGTAGTCATGACACACACACCTTAGGTAGTGATCTTGGCACACACACACACTGCCAAGTGAAGTGATCTTTACACACACCTTAGAGTAGTGATCATGGCACACACACACACACACACCTTAGAGTAGTGATCATGACACACACACACACACCTTAAGTAGTGATCTGACACTCTCTCTCACATGGTGATGATCATGACACACACACACACACACCTTGAAGTAGTGATCATAACACACACACACACACACACACTATAGAGTAGTGAAATCATAACTTTTACCTCGCTCTTCTCTCACACACACAAATATATCATACATTGAGGAGTAAACACCACGATAGTTCTTATACAAACAGTGTAAACAATGAGAAGATGTAAAGAAAAAGGGTGTGAATAAAGAGATGTAAACAAAGACAAGATGTAAACAAAACAGGTTACTCACGAGAAGTTGAGCTTGGAGGCCAGTTCGTTGAGTACCTCAAACATGAGTCCTTCGTATCCTACCACAGCTCCTGACGAGTCCTTCAGGAATATCTGCCACGGTGGGTACTGTGGAGGCCATGGTCAGGAGGTCAGGTGGGTAGGAGGTCAGGTGGGGTAGGGGTCAGGTGGGGTAGGGGTCAGTGGGTAGGGGTCAGGTGGGGTAGGGGGTCAGGTGGGGTAGGGAGGTCAGGTGGGGTAGGAGGTCAGGTGGGGTAGGGGGTCAGGTGGGGTAGGGGGTCAGGTGGGTAGGGGTCAGGTGGGTAGGAGGTCAGGTGAGGTAGGGGGTCAGGTGGGTAGGAGGTCAGGTGGGTAGGGGGTCAGGTGGGGTAGGGGGTCAGGTGGGAGAGGTAGGGGTGGGTAGGTGGAGTGGTAGCAGGGGGGCGGTGGGTAGGAGGTCAGGTGGTAGGGGTCAGGTGGGGTAGGAGGTCAGGTGGGATAGGGGTCAGGTGTAGGAGGTCAGGTGGGGTAGGGGTCAGTGGGAGGGTCAGGTGGGGTAGGGGGTCAGGTGGGGTAGGAGGTCAGGTGGGTAGGGGGTCAGTGGGAGGGGGTCAGGTGGGTAGGAGGTCAGGTGGGGTAGGGGGTCAGATGGGGTGGGAGGTCAGGTGGGGTAGGGGGTCAGGTGGGTAGGAGGTCAGGAGGTCAAAGAATGAGAGAAAAATATTACTAATACCCCTCATTATCCTGTTCAAAATACCTGTTGTTTACATGGGAAGATAGGCACTGTTTACATAGAGGTGACAGTGAGGGTTACCAACACTCACGTCTACAGAAGTGACAGCGATGGTGCGGCCTCTGAAACCTCCAGTGACATGAGGGAAGAGGTCGTCGTGTATCGTGAGGCCCGTCAGAGGTCGCCAATCAGCCACGTCCAACAGTTCAAACCTATCTGCGTCCTTAACCTCCACGGACTGTATCCCAAAGGTACACTTCGAACACGTCTGGTCTTCCTGCTGCAGCGCCTGGGAGGAGGGGGGAGGGTGACAGGTTAGATGAAGATGGTATATAGATAATAGTCTAGTGTTATGGTTAAATTTGTCTAATTATAGTCTCTAGTACACGACAACAAGCAATTAACGTTCCATTAATAGTTGAGGAAGGAAGGAGGATAGTTAGAACACACCATAACACACACACACACACACACACACACACACACACACACACACACACACACACACACACACACACACACACACACACCTTATCTGATCCATCTCACGACATATTCTATACTGAGTTTATCAACCTCGTACCTAACTGATCATGTTTTTCACGTAAGAGGAATTTTAAGTTCTTCACAATTCCCCCAGGTGATATATCCACAGTCACCCTCATACTGTGAGTGTCTGATTAGAGGTGTGTGTATCCATTTAACATCTGTTTATTACATATATACTTGGCTTTAGCAACTCCAAATAAACTATCCACACGCTGTTGAGTAAATTATAACCCTAAGTCAACACGTTACCTGGACAAGAAGGTGTTATTTGACTTAGGTAAATATTCTGGCTGTAGACGAAAGCTGAGAGGAGGCAGGTATAAAAATTTCAACCCTCGTCGATATTGGAGTGAATAGTTTCGACACCAGTCGTTTGGGAGCTTACAAAAGACTACTTATTCTGTGCTATATGCCACTTACTAAAGGAGGGAGGGGGATGAGGAAGAGGAAAGGAGGCAGGCGTAGAGAAGGGAGGGGAAAGAAAGGAGAAGAGGGGCGGAAAGGGGAAGAAATGGATAAAAGAGACGGGGAAGAGGAAGAGGAAAGGGAAGGAAGGAGAAGGAAGGAAGAGGGAAGAAGAAAGAAGGGGACAGGGGGGAGGCATATGCTGTTGACTAACAATCACGACTTTGCCCAATAACTACCATTAAGTTGAGGGCAGAAATAGTCGTGTTATGGTTAGTGGTGATTTAGCAGTGTGTGTGTGTGTGTGTGTGTGTGTGTGTGTGTGTGTGTGTGTGTGTGTGTGTGTGTGTTTACGGTCTTAAGTGCGTCTATACGGTCTTAAGTGTGTTTATACGCTATAACACAATACCCTGACATACATACACGGCAGATTCATTCCTCATTCACGACTCAATGTAACAGAACCAACACACAGGTACTTGGGGAGGGACAAAAGACGCACTTACACGCGAGGGCCTCATAACTAAATGGGCTTGAGTGAAGTGTATCTCTGCTAGTTTCCACAAGGGTCTTACTACCTACTACCTTATATATGACAGAAAATAAACACACACACACATAAAAATAAACACAAAATAAACCATACCTACACCGAAGCATAAACCAGCATCAAACCACAGCATAATACCACATGACGTCATAAAACCAGATGACGTCATAATACTACATGACGTCATAACACCACATGACGTCATAACAACAGATGACGTCATAATACCTCACCACCTGACCACTTTAACACATCACAGCGTCACATCACAGCGTCACATCACAGCGTCACATCACTCACCTTGATCATTTGGACGATGGTGGAGGCGCGGGAGGCTGACGAAGGCTTTACCTCCTCCCACTCCTCCTCCGACACCTGGTGGAGAACAGGAGGAGATCAGGTGGAGAACAGTGGTGGAGATCAGTGGTGAACAGTGGTGGAGATCAGGTGGAGATCAGTGGTGGAGAACAGTGGTGGAGATCAGTGGTGAAGATCAGTGGTGAAGATCAGTGGTGAACAGTGGTGGAATCGTGGTGAAGATCAGTGGTGAACAGTGGTGGAGATCAGTGGTGAACAGGTGGAGAACAGTGGTGAAGATCAGTGGTGAACAGTGGTGGAGAGATCAGTAGTGAACAGTGGTGGAGATCAGTGGTGAAGACCGGTGGTGAACAGTGGTGGAGATCATGGTGGAGATCAGTGGTGAAGATCAGTGGTGAACAGTGGTGGAGATCAGTGGTGAACAGTGGTGGAGAACAGTGGTAACAGTGTGGAGATCAGTGGTGAAGATCAGTGGTGAACAGTGGTGAAGATCAGTGGTGAACAGTGTGGAGATCAGTTGAAGATCAGTTGAACAGGTGGAGATCAGTGGTGAAGATCAGTAGAACAGTGGTGGAGATCAGTGGTGAAGATCAGTGGTGAACAGAGGGAGATCAGTGGTGAAGATCAGTGGTGAACAGTGGTGGAGATCAGTGGGTGGAGAACAGTGGTGAAGATCAGTGAGAACAGTGGTGGAGATCAGTGGTGGAGAACAGTGGTGAACAGTGGTAACAGTGGTGGAGATCAGTGGTGGAGATCAGTGTGGAGAACAGTGGTGGAGAACAGGAGAACAGTGGTGGAGATCAGAGGAAGATCAGTAGAACAGTGGTGGAGATCAGTGGTGGAGAACAGTGAAGATCAGTGGTGAACAGTGGAGATCAGTGGTGGAGAACAGTGGGTGAACAGTGGTGAACAGTGGTGAAGATCAGTGGTGAACAGTGGTGGAGATCAGTGGTGAACAGTGGTGGAGAACAGTGGTGAAGATCAGTGGTGAACAGTGGTGGAGATCAGAGTGAACAGTGTGGAGCAGTGGTGAAGATCAGTGGTGAACAGTGGAGATCAGTGGTGAGATCAGTGGTGAAGACAGTGGTGAACAGTGGTGGAGATCAGTGGTGAACAGTGGTGGAGAATGGTGAACAGTGGTGGAGATCAGTGGTGAAGATCAGTGGTGAAGATCAGTGGTGAACAGTGGTGAAGATCAGTGGTGAACAGTGGTGAGATCAGTGGTGGAGATCAGTGGTGAACAGTGGTGGAGATCAGTGGTGAAGATCAGTGAGAACAGTGGTGGGAGATCAGTGGTGAACAGTGAAGATCAGTGGTGAACAGTGGTGGAGATCAGTGAAGATCAGGTGAACAGTGGTGGAGATCAGTGGTGGAGAACAGTAGGAAGATCAGTGGTGAACAGTGTGGTGATCAGTGGAGAACAGTGGTGAACAGTGGTGAACAGTGGTGGAGATCAGTGGTGAGATCAGTGGTGGAGATCAGTGGTGAGAACAGGTGGAGAACAGTGGTGAACAGTGGTGAGATCAGTGGTGAAGATCAGTGGTGAACAGTGGTGGAGATCAGTGGTGAGAACAGTGGTGAAGATCAGGGAGAACAGTGGTGAGATCAGTGGTGGAGAACAGTGGTGATCAGTGGGTGAACAGTGGTGAAGATCAGTGTTGAACAGTGGTGGAGATCAGTGGTGGAGAACAGTGGTGGAGATCAGTGGTGGAGAACAGTGGTGAAGATCAGGTGGAGAACAGTGGTGGAGAACAGTGAGAAGATCAGTGGTGGAGAACAGTGGTGATCAGTGAGGGAGAACAGTAGGAGAACAGTGGTGGAGAACAGTAGGATCAGTGGTGGAGATCAGTGGTGAAGATCAGTGGTGGAGAACAGTGAAGATTAGTGGTGAGAACAGTGGTGGAGAACAGTTGGAGAACAGTGGTGGAGAACAGTGATGATCAGTGGTGGAGAGATCAGTGGTGGAGAACAGTGATGGAGAACAGTGATGGAGAACAGTGATGATCAGTAGGAGATCAGTGGTGGAGAACAGTAGGAGAACAATGGTGGAGAACAGTGGTGAACAGTGGAGAACAGTGGTGGAGAAGATGAATGGAAAAAAACACAGGTACTAATGAACAATGAACACAATGAACAGGTAAGGATGAACAGTACCTGGTCGTATAGTTCCATCTTTACTGAGGGCGTTGGAGAGCTCAAGAAGGCACTGTTTCACCAACACTCCATATAACACTCGAAGCTTCCTAGGGGAAGAAGGGGAGATAAGAGAGAGAGAGAATCAGAAAGGTGAATAAACAGAAGAAAACATAGATAAACGATGAAACGAGACAAACAGAAAATAATACGAGAAACGAGAAAGAAACACACACACACACACACACACACACACACACACACACACACACACACACACACACACACACACACACACACACACACACACACACACACACACACACACACACACACACACACACACACACACACACACACACACACACACACACACACACACACACACACACACACACACACACACACACACACACACACACACACACACACACACACACACACACACACACACAACACACACACACACACACACACACACACACACACACACACACACACACACACACACACACACACACACACACACACACACACACACACACACACACACACACACACACACACACACACACACACACACACACACACACACACACACACACACACACACACACACACACACACACACACACACACACACACACACACACACACACACACACACACACACACACACACACACACACACACACACACACACACACACACACACACACACACACACACACACACACACACACACACACACACACACACACACACACACACACACACACACACACACACACACACACACACACACACACACACACACACACACACACACACACACACACACACACACACACACACACACACACACACACACACACACACACACAACACACACACACACACACACACACACACACACACACACCCACACACACACACACACACACACACAACACACACCAACCACACACACACACACACACACACACACACACACACACACACACACACACACACACACACACACACACACACACACACACACACACACACACACACACACACACACACACACACACACACACACACACACCACACACACCACACACACACACCCACCACCACACACACACACACACACACACACACACACACACACACACACACACCTTATTATACACAACACCCCAAAGAAAAACTATAATTTAAACCACAAAATCTATCTGAACTATTACCAATAAATTCAACCATCGTATAAAAAAAAATAATAATGTTACTCTTAGAAAAATATAAATAATTTTCGTGGTGTGTGGACCCTCCCCCTTGAATCCCAGTACACTTGAATTGTAATATTTTCTCCCCAACACACAAACACAAAAGGGTTGAATTAATCGATAACTTATGAATTTTGAAAAAACTCCCAAAGTGTTGACCAATAGGCCGGTTTTTACGATTAATATATTTACGTTGGTTGATATATTTATTTATTTATTTTGTTGTTGTTGTGATTATCTACCTGAGACCTCCCCCCCCCGGTCGTCTTCTGGTCCACGAACCCCGGATTGAGATTCGTGACCCAAAGTAGTAAACACGGATTCGTTAATGTGTCCATAAATGGTTCGGATTCATGAGTTTCTGAGTCTCGGGCTGTGGTTCAGGAAGAGAGGCGGCAGGACTCTGGAGGGTGAGAGTATGTGTGATTACAGTGACCACCAGGGTGTTACAGTGATTCACTAGGGTGTTACACTGACCACCAGGGTGTTACAGTGACCACTAGGTGTTGCAGTGACCACCAGGGTGTTACAGTGACCACCAGGGTGTTAAGCAGTGACCACCAGGGTGTTACAGTGACCACCAGGGTGTTAGCAGTGACCACCAGGGTGTGTTACAGTGCATTCACCAGGGTGCTACAGTGACCACTCAGGGTGTTACAGTGACCACCAGGGTGTTACAGTGACCACCAGGGTGTCATAAGCAGTGACCACCTGTGGGTACACAGTGACCACCAGGGTGCTGACCACCAGGGTGTTAAGTGACCACCAGGGTGTTACAGTGACCACCAGGGTGTTACAGTGACCACCAGGGTGTTACAGTGACCACCAGGGTGTTAAGCAGTGACCACCAGGGTGTTACAGCGACCACCAGGGTGTTACAGTGACCACCAGGGGTAAGTTACAGTGACCACCAGGGTACAGTGACTACCAGGGTAAGAAGGTGCGACTACCAGGTGTTACAGTGACCACCAGGGTGTTACAGTGACCACCAGGGTGTTGGCAGTGACCACCAGGGTGCTGAGAAAGCACTTCACCAGGTGTTACAGTGACCACCAGGGTGTTACAGTGACCACCAGGGTGTTACAGTGACCACCAGGGTGTTAAGCAGTGACCACCAGGGTGTTACAGTGACCACCAAGGTGTTACAGTGACCACCAAGGTGTTACAGTGACCACCAAGGTGTTACAGTGACCACCAAGGTGTTACAGTGACCACCAGGGTGTTACAGTGACCACCAGGGTGTTACAGTGACCACCAAGGTGTTACAGTGACCACCAGGGTGTTACAGTGACCACCAGGGTGTTACAGTGACCACCAGGGTGTTACAGTGACCACAACACCAGGTACAAGGACACATAATGAACGTGTTGTCAACCTTGGTTTACAAATATTGAACAACGTGGGTGACATATGAGAGTTATTTCAGTCCGGCTCTCTCATTGATAACCTACAGCTGAGCGAACAGAACAATAGGTAAATTCTTTCTTTCTTTCATTTATTTAATTATCTATCGATTTATATTTAATCTTCGGGTTAAATTATTATCTCTGACTTGAAGTTGAAATCAATACTCTCTCTCTCTCTCTCTCTCTCTCTCTCTCTCTCTCTCCACTGAATCTCTTGACAAATCTCGTAAACGTAATGGCAGTCATTGTTTGGTCGCAGTAGACAAACACACTAGGTATATTTTCTTTTATATAGAGTAAAATGTGTAGTTTTTATTAATTTATTCTCTATTAAACCATAAAAAAACATCAGGTAACAGTGTCAGGTTGTGTTAATTAAATACGCCAGGTAATTTTTTTCCAAGGATGTTTGATAGTCTTCAGTAACAAGTATGTAAATTCTAGGTAGAGGCATTATCTTTCCTCCCCAGTAGGTATAAGCCACACGTCCCGGGTTTCATTAATGCATTACAAACACTAGTTAAACGTAAAGGAAATGAGTTGCATCCATAAAAATTTTATTCTCGTCTATTCAGCAAATTAGTAAAAACAGCTGTAAAGTAACACCAATGTACAGCGTCGTGTGGAAGTGTTTTTGAACTGTTTGGTCACATAGAACAGGAGGCAGATAATATGGATTTAGATATAATTCCATACAAATCTAATTATATTTTATAAAATGTATTGTTTTTCTTTCAAATATATGACAGAAATGTAAGGAGGGGAAAGAGATCGGTTACAGTAGCATAAAGAGCAAGAAATGTGTTGACAGGAGAGAGAAAACGCTGAAGGGATAACTAATATAAAAGTTATGATTAAGAGCTAAAGAAATCTAAAAGACAAATGGATAGTATCGAGCGGATTATCTTTAGTGGATTAGGAATATTAGAGACGATGAGAGAACAATGACAGGTATTATTATTATTATTATTATTATTATTATCATTGACTTATAAAAGTATTAGATGAATGAAAGACTGATGGTATGTGTGTGTGTGTGTGTGTCAGGGGGCAGGCACTAACAGGTAGCCGCCTTGTGAGCACAGCACTACCGATTTTCATAAATATTCATATTTCTATTATCTCCAAACGGTATGACACTGCCAGACGTATGTGTGTGTGTGTGTGTGTGTGTGTGTGTGTGTGTGTGTGTGTGTGTGTGTGTGTGTGTGTGACGTGAATAAATAAGAAATTGGTGTGAAATATGCAAGGTGTTCCCAGCAACCGTTGACAGTGGTATTAGGCAAATCTTCCTTCGCTCGATTATATAACTTGTTCGTATTGATTATATACCAGCAAAAATTATAGACATACAGTTGATATAATATTAATATCATATCTATCTTTCTTTTTTCTTTGATGATTATGTATAAGAAACATACGAACGGACCCCGAATATTTGTAGTGAATAGATTTCTCTCTCTCCGTATGGGTTCATCAGGTCGGTTACAGCCACAACATTGACGCTGATTTGAGGTGTGTTCGGGCTAATGTTTTGATGACGTCACGGGGCAGACGTTTGCGTACAGCCGCTCCTCCACAACCATCGAAAATTCGTAACTCAGATTAATATTTTTTCAGACAATAAAGAAAATAATATTATGTTTATATGACGCAATTTTGTTTATTCTTTTAAAAAATTATGGCAGAAAAATACGAAAGATTTATCACCGCTTTCTTCTCTTTTACTCTTTTAACGAGCGAGAGAGAGAGAGAGAGAGAGAGAGAGAGAGAGAGAGAGAGAGAGAGAGAGAGAGAGAGAGAGAGAGTAACTGTGATAGGAAGAAAGAAGTAAAGAGAGAGATGGTAGCTGAGAGGAAACATGAAGGACACACACACACACACACACACACACATCCCCCCCACCCCCCACACACTTACACAAGAATTTTTTTAAGGACTCACGTCACAGGAGGTGGCTGAGCTGAGTTCGGACATGTTGTAGACGAAGGCCATGTTGTCACCGTCTATCATGTTGGCCATGTAAGAGTTCATATCGTACCTGAGGGAGTGGGTGTTGGGTACCACGAAGAGCCACTGATTCTTAGATCCGAATAGATTCATAGAACGAGCCTGTAGAGGGAGAGAACGAAGCATACGAAGAGATTTGGTTAAGTATTGGGTGTTGATAAGGTGTGGGGAGCGTTGGAAGGTCATGGTGAGGGTCAGGCGGCGTTGAAAGGTCACGGTGATGGGTTAGGAAGTGTTAAGATATCATGGTTAATGGTCATGCCTGTTGATATGTTAAGAGACTGTAAAAGTCTACGGTCCTATCCAGCCGTGTTTCACTATGTGTTGTGTGGAGACCTGTTGAACTCGTGGTGTGTGTGTGCGTGTGTGTGTGTGTGTTAATAATAATAATAATAATAATAACCATCATGATATTACCATTATTATTATTATTATTATTAACACACACACACACACACACACCACGAGTTCAACAGGTCTCCACACAACACATAGTGAAACACGGCTGGATAGGACCGTAGACTTTTACAGTCTCTTAACATATCAACAGGCATGACCATTAACCATGACATTTTAACACTTCCTAACCCATCACCGTGACCTTTCAACGCTTCCTGACCTTTGATCATGACCTTTCAACGCCTCCTGACTCACCGTGACCTTTCAATGCTTCCTAACCATCATCATGACCTCTCAACACTTCCTGAGCCCTCACCACACCTCCTGACCCTTCACCACACCTCCTGACCCCTCACCACACCTCCTGACCCTTCACCACGCCTCCTAACCCCTCACCGCGCCTCCTGACCCCCCACTCCTAACCCTCACCATATCTCCTAACCACTCACTATACCTCCTGACCCTCACCACGCCTCCTGACCCTCACCACGCCTCCTGACGCCATCACCTGCCTCCTGACCCCTTCACCACGCCTCCTGACCCCTCACCACGCCTTCTGATCCCCAACCACGCCCTCTGACCCCTCACCACGCCTCCTGACCTTCACCACGCTCTCCTGACCCCTCACACACGCCTCCTGACCTCACCACGCCTCCTGACCCCCCTTACGCTCTCCTGACCCCTTCACCACGCCTTCTGACCCCCTTCACCACGCCTCCTGACCCCTCACCACGCCTTCCTGACCCTCACCACGTTCCTGACCCCCAACCACGTTTCCCGACCCCCACCATCATAAGACACCTTACTGACCATATCCTGGATAGTAGTGACCTCGTCCTGAAGGTGATGGCGAGGTACTGCTTATTCTTGGGTTGACCTGGCTGAGGACCCAACGAGGCAAACATCTTCCCCAGTCTGAAACAGTGGAAGATGGTGGTGGTAAGGGGCTGTGGGTGGGTGGGTGTGCGTGTGGGTGGGTGGGTGGGTGTAAATGCATTCCAGTTATCTATCATCTAAGGTCAAATTCACAGACAGACAGACAGACAGACAGACACAGACATGAATACATACATACATACATACATACATACAGACACGCACACAAAACACACACAAAACACACACACACACACACACACACACACACACACACACACACACACACGTATCTCAAATCACAATGAAGAACTACTACCATAACTCGTACACACATTTAAAGAACATCAATAATCACTACTCTAACACCACTAGACTGAACCATTAAAGTCACGGCCGCCAGAACCATTACAGCACCAATAAAATGCGACTAACACCTTGAGTTTAACGGTATATTAACAAGAGTTTGAACTTATGGCGTCATGAAACTCAACTCTGGAAGGCAGTGTATAAAATATCGGATATCGGCAGCTCTTATGGTTTATAGACGAAGCCATTGGTTTAAATCTTGTAACTTTCAGGTTTAAATGCGTTTTTTATTGTAATGTTCATCAAGAGTGACGGTTATTAAAACTGTTATGACCGTTATAGTCGTTTATGGCAGTTAAATACGTTATGACGGTTAAAGACGTTATGACGGTTAAAGCTGTTGTGAAGGTTACTGTTGTTTTTGACCGTTATAGTCGTTATGGCGGCGCTAGATACTGTAGCGTTAAGGTAGTGAGCAGCAGGGAAGCAGTAGTCAGCTGACGGTACACACACACACACACACACACACACACACACACACACACACACACACACACACACACACAATACAAACAATAAACAAACATTATAATTATTAACAAGTTCTGGTATATTTACATCTCATGACTCACACATGGTGGCCGTAACCTAACCTAACCCCAAATGTGTCAAGAAGGTGTCGAGATAATTCTATTGTTGGAGTTACACAAAATCAGTCAGTCAGGGTTAGCATACAAAGAGCTATTGACGCAACTGAACAAAACCAATCACGGTTGTCGGATTAAAAAAACAAAAAATACGTTAAATCACAACCAATCACAAACTCTTACCTCTGAGTGATTGAATTTCTGTTTTTCGTGTCCATAAATCACTCGACTTTGTTATGAATGGTGAAGTGCCAGTTTGGTGTGGCAGTAGTGACAAGTGTGGCATTGCCTGTCGTATGGGGGAGGGAGAGGTGAGGGAGGGGGGGTTGAGGGGAGGGAGGAGGGAGGGGGGAGGGAGAGGGGTTGAGGGGAGGGAGAGGGAGAGGGGTTGAGGGGGGGGAGGGGTGAGGGAGAGGGAGGGAGGTTGAGGGGGAGGAGAGGGTTGAGGGAGGGGAGAGGGGTTGAGGCGAGGGACGGGGAGGGAGGGGGGTAACTCACAAACATATGATGATTTATCTATTTATGTATATTTATTGGCAACAGTTAGTGGTCAAGTGAGACGACTGTTCCATTATGAAGAAAGGAATTTGGTCTTTGTCACTACAGCATTGGATTTAAGTTACTGTGAATATAATACATCATTTGATTCTTGTTGATGAAAGGTGGAAAGCGCGTGTCTTGGCCAGGTTACCGCGTGTCTTGGCCAGATTACCGCGTGTCTTGGCCAGATTACCGCGTGTCTTGGCCAAGAGATGTGTCTTAGCCAGACTACCGCGTGTCTTGGCCTAAGTGTGCCTTAGCGTGTCTACCGCGTGTCGCCAGATTACCGCGTGTCTTGGCCAGATTACCGCGTGTCTTAGCCAGAGTGTCTTGGCCAGATTCGCGTAGCCAGATCTTGGCCAGATTACCGCGTGTCTTAGCCAGATTACCGCGTGTTGGCCAGATTACCGCGTGTCTTAGCCAGATTACCACGTGCCCAGCCGATTTCATGCGCCAGATTACCGCGCGCGTCTTAGCCGATTACCGAGTCTTGGCCAGATTACCGCGTGTCTTGGCCAGATTACCGCGTGTCTTGGCCAGATTACCGCGTGTCTTAGCCAGATTATCGCGTCTTGGCCAGATTACCGCGTGTCCGGATTGCGTCTTAGCCAGATTACCGCGTGTCTTGGCCAGATTACCGCGTGTCTTAGAATACGCGTGTCTTGGCCAGATTACGCGTGTCTTAGCCAGACAGACCGCGTGTCTTGGCCAGAGATCTTGGCCAGATTACCGCGTGTCTTAGCCAGATTACCACGTGTCTTGGCCAGATTACCGCGTCTTAGCCAGATTAGCCAGATTACCGCGCGTCTTGGCCAGATTACCTTAGCAGATTACCGCGTGTCTTAGCCAGATTACCGCGTGTCTTAGCAGATTACCGCGTGTCTTGGCCAGATTAGCCAGATTACCGCGTGTCTTAGCCAGATTAGCCAGATTACCGCGTGTCTTGGCCAGATTACCGCGTGTCTTGGCCAGATTACCGCGTCTTGCCAGATTACCGCGTCAGATTACCGCGTGTCTTGGCCAGATTAGTCTTGGCCAGATTACCGCGTGTCTTCAGATTACCGCGTGCAGATTACCCAGGATGTGTTCCGCTTACGCAGTGCTTGCCAGATTACGTGTCTTAGTCTTGGCCAGATTACCGCGTGTCTTGGCCAGATTATCGCGTGTCGCCAGCGCGTGTCTTGGCCAGATTGGCCAGATTATGCGTGTCTTGGCCAGATTACCCGTGTCTTGGCCAGATTATGTCTTGGCAGATTGTGTCTTGGCTACATACTTGAAATATTATGTCATTGTATCTGTGCCCTCAACTCCTTGCCACACTGGAACGTCGACCAATCGTTGGGAACCAGAGCTATGACGTCATGTATATGGTTAAATTAATTCACACAAGAAACTCCTTAACTCCATCATGATTAAGGAGAGTAAATTTTAATGTTGCTTTTAGGTCATTAGTACGTCACCTTGTCCTCTTCACCATCCTGATCAATAATTTACTACGAACACTTTATTACAGGTGAATGGGATCAATTAATTTGTGTTTACATTGTGGTCAATTATAATATTCAGTTATATTCGCTATCAACGTTAAAACTCATGTCTGAACATATGAATATCCTACCTCCAAGATTATTACGGCTACAACAAGCAGTAAGACATATTCGTGTGTAATATATAGATCGAGATTCATAATTAAACTATTCCCTGTGTTCTGAGAAGGCAAGGTAACATGCACTTAAGTTTGCACTATTGGAATATTCGGTTGGACCGTAACGTTATAAGAGGCATGGCGGGTCAAAGTCATTCTCGATCCGTTACGTATTTTTTTTATCTTATGCAATAATCATTTCTACTTCCTTCGTATAGATTTGAAAAGATAGAATTTATATTTAGTAATTTATTTAATTTTTGATGGTATATGGTGTAAAATATTTGTCGAATAGAAGCGTAAATATTATTTACATATTATATTCTAATACAGAAAATGAATGGACATTAAGGGGTAACTGATCTACTTTGTCCGAGGGCAAGTGAACACACACACATTATAAATTATTTAAACATTCATACATCGTACTGTAGTGGATCTAAACGAGACACATACACTGACAGACTCGGTATAGGTGTGTAGAGAACTGTTTACAATTACCACAGTAGTTTACGCCACCATAATAATTAAAGTTATAAATCTTGTCATAGCCAGTGTAGCAACAACTTCCTCTGTACCTCCCGTTGTTAATAATGCAACATAGAAACTGTGTCGGGTATTACAGCACAGCAGCCACCTGAGTCCATTCTTCCTTAAGTGTCATAACCATTGTTGGTGTTATGTTATTACTGCACTTAGATGGTCTTGAGACTAGTACAAACGGTTAATAACTAAACTATCTTTTGATAATCGTTTTGTCAGTTTATTATTTACATTCAATATTATATTTATTGTTTTAATTATATATATTTAGTAATTACCTTATTTATGTGTGTGTGTGTGTGTGTGTGTGTGTGTTACAACTCACCATAAGACAGCTTCCCCTACACGTGACCTACTTTCACTTAATTATCAAGGTATTAGGAACAAGAATCATCCAGGAGTGATAATTGGGTAAAGAATGTGAATCCTAAATCTACATAATGACAACGAAACAAGATTAGGTAAAGGTAGTGATTGGTTGTAAGCTTATGGGATAATTCCACTTATTGGCCAATCCAGAGCAATGATTACGAGTCGTTAAGATAAAGATGAACACTGATTGGTTTAGCTCGGATAATCAGAATGGATAATCAGATTGGAGGCTGGATGAATATTTCCTATGGATTAATATGAAAAGTGATGAGCTATTCTGTACTAATACTGTCATTGGCTACTCCGAGTGACGCAAGTGGCTACGATTGGTCATCCTAGCGAGGTGACATGACTTGGGGTGACTAGTCTACCGATATAACTACTCTATTCATCACTAACTTACGATGCTGACACAATAATGACAGCTATTTATAGACAGAAATACAGATAATACCACTGTCTTAACCACTAGACTCAGCGCGGGAAACAAACTGACAGATGTAAACAACAGAGAGACTCAGGTACTCACTTCATGGAGGAGGCGTCGACGGAGGCGAGATCCACCACGCTATAGGCGGTGTCCGGGGACTTGGCGGTGCCCTCAGCCAAGATACTGACGATGGCGTTGACGTCTAGTTTATCTGTAGGAGGGGCGGGGGTGTACAAGAAGAGAGCGGTGTTAGTGTTGGTGGTTGGAGGATTAGGAGGTGGAGGAGGGGAGAAGAAAAGGAGGAGATGGAGAAGAGGAGGAAGAGGAAAAAAAAGAGGAAGAAGTGTAGGAAGAGGAAGATAAAGAGGCAGAGATAAACAGCACTCTCAACAAGATGGGTGACTCCTGAAGCCTCAAAATACACGACAACATTTAATCATTCCAGTAGAAAAAATCCTAATATAGTCAGTCAATCTACATCTGTCAGCTAATTAGGTCAAAGGTCATTTAAGGTCACAGGTAAGAATGGCAGCTTTACATTAAATAATCACAACAAAGGTCTAGGTAGTCTCTCATTCTCTTAATTAGTTTCTAGCCCACAGGTGAGTTAAGTAAATATAGATTTAATTAAGGTGTGCTGGTTGAGTGTTTACCTGTGTGTGTGTGTGTGTGTGTGTGTGTGTGTGTGTGTGTGTGTGTGTGTGTGTGTGTGTGTGTGTGAATAAAATATCGCTAAATCAGGTATAACACTCGCTTTGGAATTTGCCTGAAGATGAAATGGAGAACAGAGAACACAGTATCAATGAAGGGAAGATTATAACACTCACCTGTGATACGGGTCAGAAGAACACAGTGTCACGGGTCAGGAGAACACAGTGTCACGGGTCAGAAGAACACAGTGTCATGGGTCAGAAGAACAGTGTCACGGGTCAGAAGAACACAATGTCACGGGTCAGAAGAACACAGTGTCACGGGTCAGGAGAACAGTGTCACGGGTCAGAAGAACACAGTGTCATGGGTCAGGAGAACACAGTGTCACGGGTCAGAAGAACACAATGTCACGGGTCAGAAGAACACAGTGTCACGGGTCAGGAGAACAGTGTCACGGGTCAGAAGAACACAGTGTCATGGGTCAGGAAGAACACAGTGTCACGGGGTCAGAAGAACATGTCACGGGTCAGAAGAACACAGTGTCACGGGTCAGAAGAACACAGTGTCACGGGTCAGAAGAAAACAGTGTCACGGGGTCAGAAGAACACAGTGTCACGGGTCAGAAGAACACAGTGTCACGGGTCAGGAGAACACAGTGTCACGGGTCAGGAGAACACAGTGTCACGGGTCAGGATAACACAGTGTCACGGGTCAGGAGAACACAGTGTCACGGGTCAGAAGAACACAGTGTCATGGGTCAGGTGGGTCAGAAGAACACAGTGTCACGGGTCAGAAGAACAACAGTGTCACGGGGTCAGAAGAACACAGAGTCACTGAGCTAAGGTTACGACACTCACCAACACTTTGCCGTGGATGACGTTATATCGGTCCAGGTGAGGGTCTCCTTATCCCGTGGTCCCTGAACACCTGCACCAGATCCCGCGACCCACTCTGTCAGGGGCACTGTGATGGCTGTCGAGTGCCTGATCCTGACAGCCGGACTCTGTAGGGGCCATGACGAAGAGGAGGAGGAGTTAGTGGAGGGGAGATGGGGGTGAGAGGGGGAAGGAAGGGGGAGATGGGGGTGAGAGGGGAAGGGAAGGGGGAGATGTGAGTGTACAAAGCTCTGGTTGACACACACACACACACACACACACACACACACACACACACACACACACCACTGAATCAATGTTGTTCTTGACGTAATACATTGCTAAGATCTGTTATTACCAGAGACAAGTGTATGGACGTCCACCCCCACACCACGACTTGATACAAACACAATTACATTATCTAAATACAAACGAATCATTTTAAGTCTATCTGTTTTATTCTTAAGTAGTGCCAGTTAGCTCTATATATGGTTTAGTCACTGAGAGAGTCACTGACGGAGAAGAAACACATTGACTCACTGACTGACTGTGTAGAAGTGACTCTCGTGTCTGTTTAGTCATGTTAGTCACCACCAGGGCGTCAAGACCACGGCAGTAGGCGGAACATATCCCTCATGTGATAAAGAATTGATAGTGTGCAGGTACAGAGTCAGGAGACAGGTGAGGAGACAGGTGAGGGAACAGGTGAGGGGACACAGGTGAGGAGACAGGTGAGGGGACAGGTGAGGGGACACTGGTGAGGGGACAGGTGAGGGGACAGGTGAGGAGACAGAGGTGATGGGACACAGGTAAGGGGACACAGGAGACAGGTGAGGGGACACAGGTGAGGGGACACAGGTGAGGGAGACAGGTGAGGGGACACAGGTGAGAGACAGGGAGGGGACACAGGTGAGGAGACAGGTGAGAGACAGGGACACAGGTGAGAGACAGGTGAGGGACACAGGTGAGGGGAGACAGGTGATGGGACACAGTGAGGGACAGGTGATGGGACACAGGTGACAGGTGAGGAGACAGAGGTGATGGGACACAGGTGAGGGGACACAGGTGAGGAGACAGGTGAGGGAGACAGAGGTGATGGGACACAGGTGAGGAGACAGGTGATGGGACACAGGTGAGGAGACAGGTGACACAGGTGGGACACAGGTGAGGGACACAGGTGAAAAGACAGGTGATGGGGACAGGTGATGGGGCACAGGTGAGGAGACAGGTGGGGACACAGGTGATGGGACACAGGTGAGGGACAGGGACACAGGTGAGGGGCACAGGTGAGGGGACACAGGTGAGGGACAGAGGTGATGGGACACAGGTGAAGACAGGTGATGGGGCACAGGTGATGGGGCACAGGTGATGGGGCACAGGGGAGGGACACAGGTGAGGGGACACAGGTGAGGGGGCACAGGTGAGGGGACACAGGGAGGAGACAGAGGTGATGGGACAGGTGAGAAGACAGGTGATGGGACACATGGGGACACAGGTGAGGGGACACAGGGGGGACACAGGTGAGGGGACACAGGTGGGGACACAGGTGAGAAGACAGGATGGGACAGAGGTGAGGGGACACAGGTGATGGGACACAGGTGAGGGGACAGGTGAGAAGACAGGTGATGGGACACAGGTGAGGGGACAGGGGGGACACTGGGACAGGTGATGGGACACAGGTGAGGGGACAGAGGTGATGGGACACAGGTGATGGGGCACAGGTGAGGGGACACAGGTGATGGGACACAGGTGATGACACAGGTGAGGGACACAGGTGAGAAGACAGGTGATGGGGGGTGAGGGACACAGGTGAGGGGACAGGTGAGGGGACACAGGTGAGGGAACACAGGTGAGGGGACAGGTGATGGGACACAGGTAAGAGGACACATTTCCTCACCACATCATATACACTACTCTCCCCAAACTTCATATACGCGAGTTTCTTTCAGTATTCAATCATTCATACACCCACAGTATACAAATATACCTTTAATACTTTATACACATATATATACCACAAAAGCCACAGAGTCAATATACATATTTGAGGTATCCACATGCATGTATATTTGATCTCTGTATACATGTGAGGTATCAGTTGTCAACACTGATCTTTACACGTGACTGAAGCTTCGGGTAGAGGAAGGGAGAAGAGAGAGAGGTTAGGTTAAGTTGATGCAGATTACCTCAGTGTTGTATTAAACGATGTGTGTGTGTGTGTGTGTAGTGATGATGTTATGTAAATATTTAGTTGGTTATTGTTACATGGAGTGATGAAAGGGTCTCTCTCTCTCTCTCTCTCTCTCTCTCTCTCTCTCTCTCTCTCTCTCTCTCACCAGTAAGAGCTATATGCATCTTGCCCATCTCCGCCAGCCCAGGGGCCCACATGTGAGTGTTGGAGCAGGAGGCGAGCGTCATCACCCCCGTCATCTCTTCAGGCATAGAGTCGTTCATGGAGGTGAGGAACTGCACCGTCAGCGACCCCTGCGTCATGGCGCCCGAGCTCTCCGTCACCACCTGTTCGACGAGCTCCTGTGTAGGGATGCGACGCCCCTGGACCATACCTGACTCCATATACACACCTGTAGGAAGAGGACACGAGTGTTAATTAGTCCCAGGATGAGAGGAAATTACCTGCAGGGATACTTTACCTGAAGAATTAATTAGATATGCTATAGCCATGGGAAGTACAAAACACTTAGAGGGAAGGTAATGGTTAATGAGGACAGGTAAAGGCTAAAGGTGTGTCAACAGAGAGGTCAGTAAGGTGTAGAGGTGACATTGACCTCTTGATCTACCTGTGGCAATCTTGACCTCAGACCTGTAGACGACACACCTAAGTCAACCTCTACACACACCAGCTTATAACTAAACTCTAAGAACATTCTATATCATATTTATTTCATTAACCACCAAAAAACAATGATAATATACTAGCATCATTTGATTTACTTTACTTGATAAATAATATAATTAAGATAATTTTACCCAGGTTTAGTACTGATACGCATTTTTTATTTATTTTTTGCTTTACTGTCAATATTTGATTATTACATGACCAGGATTTATGTCCGCGTGTTCTCACTTCTGCCCCTCTCCTCTCCCTAGTACCGCCTCAACCCTCGTGTTCTGTGTCATGATAAGCCACTACATTCACAGAAACTTTATGTGTATTGTGGAGATGAAAACCTCTGTATTGGCTACGTGAAATTTTAACCTAAAACCAGATTATTAAACATACAAAGAGAATGTTTGCATTGTATGTTTATTCATGAGTAGGACATTACTACATTCATGAGGGGTATACAGTAGAATTCATGTCCAATATCTATCACATTCCAAAGAGGGAGAATGTTTTTTGGTTTTATTATGGGTTATATTTCCTTATAAGTATACCTCATATCTCACACACTCAGTCATAGCTTTGGTTAACTGGCAACATTGTGGAGGAGTAACTCGGTCCTTCGCTAACTCGGTACTTGCCTTGACTGACAGCTTCTATACTCGTGTTATATAAGAAATATCGCACATCATCGACATTCTCGCCCTCCACTGTATCATAACCTCAATTTATGATGAAGTGGACGGGCCCCCCTACCCCCCTAAAAAATATATTATCCATTTCTCAACCTGGATTTAATATATGCACAATTTTAGATGTATTGTAAACCATACATCAAACACCCAACTCGTTACCATTCACAAACAAAAAAATAAAATAAGTCCCAACTTTAAGTGAATATTTAAAGGTTATAAACAACAATAGTAAAAAAAAAAATATTAGACCTAACCTGAGATTAATTAAAAATAAAATATATATCAAATTACACCATAAACTTTATCATTAAAACAACACGATAACTTGACGTCTTCAGATCAAAACAAAACACGGCCCAATAACCCTCCAGTACTTCAACTCTGGTCGGTTACACTAGCGCTCATAATCAAGAGGAAAACAGTGTCACATTCTTTAAAATTCAAATAAAAGCAACGGAAAAAATTCTCACGTGAAAATTAAACATCATAGCTACTCTTAAGAAAAAAAAATGATTAAAGTCACTTGTCTGTTTGGTTAAATAATGGATAATTTATTGAGTTCGTCGTGTGGTTAGTTACAGGAGGTAGTGAGTGGAGACGTGGAGTGTGGTGGAGTGTACAGCATGGAGTGAGTTAGAGTGGAGGAGTAACATAAAATAGGGAATGGAGTGTGACAGAGCCATAAGAGTGAACTAGTACCTAATTTACTAACAACATAAATACTATCTCTTCGCCTTTAACATTAATCGTTTGGGGTCTTGTCTCATGTTGTCAAGAAACCACAACCAGAGTCCAGAATGAAAACATATCAGAGTTCACTAAGAAAACATACCCCCTCCCCTGAAAATATTCCCACAATGTCGAACACAATGTTTGTTTGTGTGTGTGTCACGACAGTGGTTCGGTTCCTGTTGCAATGTAATCATAATCGTCTTTTATAGTTTGTGCTAATGAGTCAACTGAAGCCTAATACATTATTCGATTTTGGGGTTAATATTCAACACGACTGCTAATTTGTGTATATTTTTGGTACTATATGTATTTTGTATATAAAGACACACAGACAGACAGAACATAAGATAACACTCTCAGGTGGTCACATGATAGGGTTGCCATATCTGAACATTCAAAAAAGAGGACGCTCCTGAAGACACCCCCCCCGCCCGGCACACACAGGCTAATATACAACATACATGGTATAGAAATCTTTAAAAAAAAAAATTACCTTTGCTTAAGGCTGAACATCTTCATTCCCTTAGCTGCAGTCTTCTCCCCCCACTGTGTGTGGTGTGCCCACGCATACTTTTCTGTAGATCGGATCTTTTTCAGTATTGGCTGATTGCTCTTTAGAAAGGTGTAGAAGTCACTGCAAGGTGTTTCTCGAAAGTTGTACTGTACAGTCAGAATGCCTTTCATTGTTTCAACACTCAATTTGTTCCTTTCCTTTGTCCATTGACTTTGCATCAGTGGAAAAAACTCTTTCTACATTTGCATTGTGAGATGATATAGCAAAGAAGAATTGTGCAATTCTGAGTGACATTCAATGTTTGATTTTTCAAAGTATCTGGTCCACTTTTTGTGTTGGCAGATTACTAAATTCTTCATCACTCTTGTAATTTTCCACAAACTGCTTCAGGTTACTAACTTGGTCAAAACACTTCATCAACTTCTACCCCCTTATCAATCAAATATTTGACAGCTAAGTTGACAACACCGTACAGGCGTACAAGTGACTTATCAGCTGACGAAAACTGAACGAGACCTCTACGGTTTCCACCTTCCCTCTCTCTCTCTCTCTCCCGTCATTACAGTTTCATGTTTTTTTTTCCGTGGAGAAAATGATGGAAGCTGAAATTCCGGACTTTTGAAGAATTTTAAAAATTCCTTCCGGATGAAGATTTCGAGACCTAAATGGAGGACATGTCCGGGAAAATACGGACGTATGGCAACCCTACCACATGAAGCACACTCGATCCTAACTCACCTAATATAGAATTTTCGTTATCGAGTTGAGCAGCTGCGGTGGCTAGGAGGAAGAGAAACACGCCCACACACACCCACGCCCATTCTCTGGTCCCGAGTGTTCTGTGGTTACCCATCTCCCCGGGTCAGGGCTCCACGCAGCTTTTAGTGCTTACTGCCGAAGAGGAAGATGGAGGGAGAGGGCGCAGTTCGTCTCTCGCTTGTCTCCGTCACCCACACGAACGCACAGGCTGGAGGAAAGAAGAAATAAAGACACGTTAGTTAGGCGTAATTCGTTTCGTCATCTACATACATACACACTAGTTAATCTCACCACTGGGAACACATTGGTAACCAGACGAGATTAAATATAAATAAACACAACTAAACTAATCTACTGGAAACACTAGAAAAATTACATAATAAAATAATGACCATTGATAAATTATTCGTGTCTTCCATAGAATGCGTGTGTGTAATAAAACAACTTATGAAAATTTCAGAACATACAGTACACTTGCCACCTGCTCCTACTTGACGCGCACCCCATTCTGCACTTTAATTTTCGCCATAATAATTACTAACAAGAAGCTTTATTACACCTAAACCCTTATATAATCAAAATAATCGTTTAACTATGTAATTACTGAATACAAATATAATCAACTTGATGTGAGTAACTCCATCTATTTCTTACCAAGGTTACGACACTACGTGGTAATTCCTATTGACAACACAAGGACGATGAGGTTTTCTTTCACTTCCTAGTACGCAATAGTAATTATCCTTGCAACACCTGGTAATATCATTCTCCTCCTATTATTTACACACTATGTAATTTTAAGTAAATATTTATTGGGAATATCAGCAATGTTTATTTCTTTAGGGGTGACACATATTACGTCATAGATAACGTCATATTACTACGTCACTTTCTGCGTCATATATTACGCCTTGGTCATTACGTTAAATAGTAAGGCATATATTATACTAATGTAATATACTAGTGACCTGCAGTATTCCTGGCCTACTTCCTACTGTCGTAAAGGAGATCAGTAGGTCAGGGTCTGCTGGGACAGGTCGCCCCCCCCCATCTCCCTTCCACTATCCCGGGTAGCCGCAATGAAGTCAAATAATGGTCCTACATGAATAAATCGGACTGCCAATCACTTCTCGACTGGTATTTGGTGTCACGAAGTCACAAAAAATTGGTAAACTTAATTTAATCTGAGTTAATGGATCGAGTGCATGTACCTAACCTAACCTAACACAACTCAGATTAAATTAAGTTTACCACCTGGGTCGGTACTGGAGGTTAGAACAGTGTCCTTTCTGGACGGAGGCTCACTCTAACTATCACGAGGCAACACACGCACGAACACACACAGTCATAGTACGGCTGTATAGATGATATTATGTATAAATATTGTATATGGCATTATATTCTGCATTATCTTCATTATATATGAACACGAAGAAAAAATTACCATAGGTTGTAGTTACGAAAGTATGAATGGAAATAAACACTTCCAAACCACCCAGTGAATCCACACAACGTTGACAGCGCTTGTGGCCAGACCACGATGCTTCCACCACACCCCATCTATATCTTTTATTTCCCATCATTCGCTTAACTATATGAAAAATTGTGTTTAATTTAACTACATATTTCAAAAACCTTAAATTACATGTGGATCAGTCACTCCTCATTCGACACACTTATAGTGTAATACTTTGACCATCCCACCTGGGCACATGGAGGCCCACGGTAACTCTCACGGGGCAACATCCTTGCATTTGTTAAAAAGAGTTAAATATATGTTATAATATATATATATATATATATATATATATATATATATATATATATATATATATATATATATATATATATATATATACACTTTCCCTCACCCTAGCAAACTAGTTAGCATAGCATAACCAAACAGCCTCGCAAGGACCAATAGGTCTGTATATAATGTGTGTGCACGAGCTAAAATGACCTAGTATATTTTACTGTCTCATTGTCCATGGGTTTTCTTACAGTTTGGCTGTGAGTTTTCTATTTTGTCTACCTGCCAGTTCAACAGGACTGCTAACCATCCTCCCAGCAACTCATATGCCATCCCAGACCCACAGCCTATATGTATGGTGCAAGACCGCAGTCCAATACATACAAGTCAGGCAGTCAAGCGTTGGTTTGAGGCACAAAGACAAAACACCAATAAGAAAGATGAAGCGATCTGGTTGAGCCCAGATTCTTTCTACTCCTACTGTATTTCAGTTTCACCACTTTTCCTTCAACTCCTAATAATCTTCTTTCACCTCTTAACTAAAGACTTCGTATCGTATCGGTTTGAGGCAGTACAAATATAGCCCTCAGATTTATATATAACATAAAATATACAGACCACATCAATAATGAACAGCTACACAAGAGAGCAAACCTCTTAGCAATCAATGTAGATATACACAACAAAGCTGTAAATATTTGGAAAAAAGTGACTGAACTTAACACAGAAACATACCAAAACTGGATAAATAATATAGACAACGAAGAATTCCAAGAACACAGTTGGTTTAAATCAGCCAGGAAGAAAGTAATTGAACCATCTCCTGCCCCAATATACATATAAAACATTAATAGAGAGAATAAAAGATGAGAGTGACCTACCAGCTCCACAAGAACCTGGCAGGCCTCTCCATACAGTGTACCTTTAGACTAACATAACTAATATTTAACATTTAACATTTAACATTTAACATTGAACTAACATCTTAGTAAAAAAAAAAAATGTGACTACCCTCCCAGCTACACAAGGACCTGGGCGGGCTCACTAACTCAAAAAAAAAAAAAAAATAAAAAAATATTAATAATATTAATAATAATAATGTGATTACCCTCCCAGCTATATCAGCCAGGAAGAAGTAATTGAACCACCTCCTGCCTCAACATACACATTTCTACATAAAACATTACTAGAGGAATAAAGATGAGAGTGACCAACCAGCTCCACTAAGAACCTGGCAGGCCTCTCCATACAGTGTACCTTTAGACTAACACAACTAACACTTAACTAACACCTCAAAAAAAAATAAAAAATAAAAATGTGACTACCCTCCCAGTTACACAAGGACCTGGGCGGGCTCACTAACTCCAACAATAACAAATAATAATAATAAGCAGCATTATATAAATAAACCAATATTAATACAAAGGTCTGACGACCCAAGGGAGCAGAACAAAGATAAAACACAATAAGAAAGATGAAGCGATCTGGTTGAGCCCAGATTCTTTCTACTCCTACTGTATTTCAGTTTCACCACTTTTCCTTCAACCCCTAATAATCTTCTTTCACCTCTTAACTAAAGACTTCGTATCGTATCGGTTTGAGGCGCACCCGCAGATTATTCTATTGGACTGGCCCCCTAAAGGAGCCGATTGTAATCCAACAAAAAATCTATCGTTGCATATGGTTGTTGAATGGAATGTTGAGGAGAAAACGAGTGAGGCAGTGAGGAGACACGCACATAATGTGTGGGAGGGAATAAGGAGGAGGCCGAACATCTGCAGCAATCTGGTAGATTCCATGCCCACCAGATTGCATGAAGTTATAGCAGGAGATGGAGGTTGGACACGGTATTAACCTGTGGTCAAGAATTAAATCTCCGCCCACGACGGTGCCTTGTAGGGGGTGGTGGGGGAGTTAGCTCTCTGGTGTAACCTCGTTGGGGCCACATAGACTTCGTTTCCTAACTCTCGGGAATTTGTCCAAGTATTTTACTATGTGGTTTTACGTCACTTCTCATAAATATGCTTACAAAATCCATGCATTAATATGCATAACTCTCGGGAATCTGTCCAGACACTAAATATATGTTATATACTACAATAATCACATAGATATGTTTACAATGTTTATGCATAATAAATGTGAAAAATATTTTTGGGGTTTCAATTAACCAATAGTCATGCCAACAAAACAATCTTGATGCTCTTAGTGCATGTATGTGTTAAATAACGAGTAACTGATCCACATGATTTTGGTAAATAAAGAAATGAAAAGCAAGCACTTAGCCATATGGATATAGTTACACGGAAGAAGGGAAATAAGCATGAACCATGGTTTTGATGGAAACAATGTGCTCTGGGACGATGCTCACAATGACGAATGGGAGAAACCTTTTATGAAACATCTTACTTACTAAGGATGAAGCTTAATGTTACGGAACACACACACACACACACACACACACACACACACACACACACACACAGTGTAACTTTGTGTGACGCGTTGTCTGACTTGGGGTGGCTTTGAGCGAACCATACACTTGATATTACAATTTATGTATCCTTCCTGTCCATGATTTACAACAATAACTGTAGGGTAAAAGTTACAATATTATACTAATAACACTCATGTATTGATACTATGACTAGTTACCAAGATACAGAGCACGGTGAACATAACATGACAATGATAGTGAAGCCTGGAAGGGTTCATATCATAACTTGTGTGTTCGTGCGTATGTTGCCCCGTGAGAGTTACCGTGGGCCTCCATGTGCCCAGGTGGGATGGTCAAAGTATTACACTATAAGTGTGTCAAATGAGGAGTGACTGATCCACATGTAATTTAAGGTTTTTGAAATATGTAGTTAAATTAAACACAATTTTTCATATAGTTAAGCGAATGATGGGAAATAAAAGATATAGATGGGGTGTGGTGGAAGCATCGTGGTCTGGCCACAAGCGCTGTCAACGTTGTGTGGACTCACTGGGTGGTTTGGAAGTGTTTATTTCCATTCATACTTTCGTAACTACAACCTATGGTAATTTTTTCTTCGTGTTCATATATAATGAAGATAATGCAGAATATAATGCCATATACAATATTTATACATAATATCATCTATACAGCCGTACTATGACTGTGTGTGTTCGTGCCTGTGTTGCCTCGTGATAGTGAGAGTGAGCCCCCGTCCAGAAAGGACACTGTTCTAACCTCCAGTACCGACCCAGGTGGGTTAGAGATTATGGTTTCCGAGTATACATAAGAACATAAGGAGTCTGCAATAGGCCGGTTGGCCTGTGCATGGCAACTCCTGTCGAGAGTTACTACCACTCTCTATCATCCATGAATCTATTTAGCCTCCTTTTAAAACTTTCCAGCGTTCCAACACTTTCTACAAAGTTGCTAAGCTTGTTCCACTCGTCCACCACCCTATTTGTGAACCAGTTCCTTCCTA